GGAATGTATTAATTTATTTAAAGAGCATATTCAGCATAAGATTTGAATATTGTTTATAAAGAAATGCATTATTATTATTATTATTATTATTATGTTGTCAGTTGGTGTCAGTCCATTGCCAGAGCTCCGCTGCCACTTTCTGTCAGTGCTGCGGAGAGCCGTAAGGGTCATTAAGCATCTTCGTTCTAACGGCAGCCAAAGGTCAAGGGAGTTAATCGGAGTTGATGGAGGGGCCCTCCGAGTGACAGTCCTAAGGGGCTCACCTCTTAATCTCTGTTTGTCTGTGTTTTAGTACTCTTTTCCTACTCAAAGCAAACAGCACCCTCCCTCTCAATGGGGACCAGCTTGCTCCCAGTCTAGCACTTTTGACCTGTGGGTCGTGCCCTTTGTTCCTTTCTCTACAGAGGCTGACCTCAGATTTCACCTCTGTAATTGAGGAGCCCTGTAGACACGTGCCCACGGGGCCCAGGAGAGACCACCACTGATGCAATCTCACTGCTACCTCTGTGCAGACAGAAAAGGGTGTCTGAAAATATGTCGTTTCCTATGGGTCCCAAGAAAAAAGGTTTGGCCGATCAAAGGCCGGTTGCATAAACATAGGCCTAACCATTATGTTAAGAGACTGTGTCTTAAGACCAAGTATGACCAACTACCAGTTTGTCAAGGGGCAAGCAGTCTTACTCTTTGTTATCAAATTAGACCAATCTATGTGTTTATGTAACTGATTTCAAAAAGTTATAAAAAGAAGTCTTAAAGAGAAAAAATTGATGACTAACTTTTAAGACTAGTCTGATCTTAAAAGATCTTGCTATGGTTTTCTGATCAATTCCCGTTGTTTTGTTTGTTGTCATGTTGTGCAAAATACTGCTAAATTGGCTTTAATATCTTCTACAGATACACTGTGCCTTCACATTCAGTCCATTTGGTCATGTTTATGTGGGGGCATATTTTTTCATTGAATATTCCTCTCTATACGCATGTAAACTCTAGACCTTTGCAGAGACTTAGATGCTGATGGACATTTCAGATCTTAAATTTGCTGCTTTTTTCTCTTAAAGTGGAAGTGTAACTCAGTTGATGAACTAGGCCACTGACTGAAGGACTGAGACGCTTTTAAAATCTGTGCCAGGCTTTTCTTGTTGTGTTTTAATTAAGTTTTTGCTTCATGGGAGTGTTGAGACACTTGTTTTTGTTTTTTTTGCTCTCCCAGAGCTCGGATGAAAAATCGTAGGTTAAAGAAGCTCGTCATGTTATTAGTTTTTTACTCATTGCCATCTCCACAAAAGCATAATTATTAGTGGAAAATTGCAGCATAATGATGTGCATGTGCAACACAGACCTTCAAATGCTTTTTAAAGTTTTTCTAGTTGAATGTGCTGGAAACCCCGATGTTCATTCAGGAGGAAAAGAAAATATACTGTAAAGCTCCTACAGATGGTTATTAAGATCCGGGATGGTGAATGGCTTTACACTGTTTGTAAGTATACTTCATTTTTTTAGATTGTGATTTTGATATCCGCTTCAATCTCTCATTCCGGTTTAAAAGGGTTAATGTGCATTTTAGTATTCAGTGTTTATTCAGAAGGTCACATGCATATGTATGCTGACCATTTTGTTCCATAGATGTAAAGCTCAACAAAAAAATATTTTTTGATATGTATCTATAAACTGTGTCGAATGCACTTATTAAATGTTGACATTTGGAAAAAGTGCCCTGTCCGCTTTGCTTTTTAACTTTGCGACGACAGCAACTTGAAACTTGCTATAGCCGTTATCGCTCTTCGGTAACTTTAACCCCAGAACACATACACGCTTTTCAAATCACATGAGAGTCTTTTTAAAATGATCTCAGCGATGGTGCATTAAAGTGCTCTGAGGTTGAGCCCTGAAAAGTACCACAAAGAGTTTGTTTTGATTGGCGTTTGATCATAGTCTCTGAGCCTTGTGAAGGATGGGGCCTTACAGAACAGCTCACTGTTTGGGAGTTGGCAGCCGACCCAAAACCAAAATTGTATCCTCAAATGAACTTTAATGCAATGTACAACACTACACGTGCGCCGATTTGCGACTCCCCACTAGCAGCTCCTATAGTAAACAAGTAGGAAAATGAACGCCTGTGAAATCAGCAACAGAGAATGAGAAGTAAAATAGAGATAATGTGGTTTAAAAAATGAGAAGGTTGGATTTCGTTGCACATATTCTCTTGTGAGACGCGCCCTCTTCGTGATTGGCCGACAGACGTGGCGCAATGTGACGTGGACGCGTCATACCTCGTGCCAGAGCATGACCTGTTAAAATTAGGGAATCAGACTTTAAAAAGGAGAGGGCTGAGCGCTTGGAATTTGATTTAGCTGTAACGGTTTTATACGGGTGTGACTCGGCCCGGATTTGGTGTTGAATCGAGGGTGTGGTGTGTGGGATGTAGGAGGAACCAAATATGTATGTGTGTGAGAGAGTGTGTGTGTGTGTAATGGGAGGTCAGTGCCATGAGGGAGCCAGAAAGAGGAGGCCGAGAACGAGGTAGTGAAATCTGGGCGGATCGGGTGCTTTCGGTCCCTCCTCCACGTCAGTGTGTGTGTGTGTGTGTGTGTGTGTGTGTGTGTGTATCTGTGTGTGACAGCCTGATGAGCAGCAGCACCCTCCGCGCAGCCATGTTCACTGGTTGACGAGCAATCTTTTATCAACTGTTTAGTTCGCTTAACACAGAAAAGCTGTTTGTGATATTACACTGGCGGTCCGAGGAACAGACTCAGGCACAGGCCCCACACTAGCATGTTTTGGTATGTGTTTTTGCATTCTTTTTGGGCTTGTTCGCAGTTGAGAAATCATCTGTTTGAACTTGTATCAATTCGCATTGATTAAACAAAAAAAAATTTGCACTAGACAGTACTGGCACGCTTAAATGAGCGTGCTGTAGATGCACAAAGGATTGTTAGTAAAATAAGCTACTGAATAATGAAATCTTGAGTCTGTTTTCTGCATCCTCACCACCGGACTGCACACGCTTGAATTTGGATTCAAAAGGGAGGCATGAAGGAGGTGCACCTTAAAAGATTGAAAAACACTATTGGTGGCGCGCTCAGCTAATTATTCCTCCACCGGGCGAAATCTCAGGTAGGCCGTGGGTGCAGTGTGTGTGTGTCTATGCGAACACTGCAGATGATATCTCCCTGCAAACTGCGACAGATGTTTCACCTCCAGACCGTCTCACACATACGCCTGTTGCTTCTCAATTCCTTCTCGGGGCAGTGGGAGGAGATCCCGTTAATGTTTGCAGATGTAGAAAGACACCCCAACATTTGCACACTTCACTTTTCCCAGAATCCCACATTCATGGTATGGTCGTCTTTTAACTGCTGAGGGTTTTTGTATTAGCCTACTTTCTCTTTCTTGTTTCTGATTACTTGTTTTGTTGTTCAATGCATTCGAGCCAGAGAACAGCTTCAAGGATTGAGTTTGGTTTTGGCGATGGAGCGTGTGCACGCTCTGTAAATTGTGTTTGAATGGTTCGTAACTGGTGTGAGCGTATGTTTCTGTGCACTCTCCGGGTGAACCGGAGTCTGTGTCACGCTTCCTTCCACTGTTCAGCCCTTCTTCCCTCCCTCCCTACTCGAGCTCTCACTCACTGGCTGGAGCGATGATTCAAAAAAAAGAAAAGAAAAAAGATTGCTCACGTACTCCACTGCCTCTTGGTTTCATCATCAACTTTTTCCCCCCCACTTCAGTTTTCCCTCTCTCTTCTCCTCTAATTCCCTTCCTCCCTCCTTTTCTCTCTCTCTCTCTCTGTGCAGATAGAAATGAAAATAAAAGCCTCTACCGCTGTACAGTCCCCACCCCTTCACCCAGTCTGTGCCAAGAGAAGGAGGGATTTCTACTACTCATAGGATTTTAACCCTGTAGCACAACCGATTGGCTCAAGCAGCTTCTCTGCCACTTCAGTTTTTCCTCTGCGTCTTTTCCCCCACTTCCCTAAACCTCGTCGGCGTGTTCTTCTGCGGTTTTGTTACCTTGAGACACTTTCAAACGGTGTATTTACGGCAGATGGAGGTGTGTGCCATTTCTCATCCTCGCCAGGGGTTAACGGATCTTTTCTGTTGCTGAGCTTTGAAAATGGCTGTATTCTCCCTGCTTGTTGCGTGTCTCGGAGAAGGGAGGCGCCTGGAGTTCTATCACTTTGGCGCCACCCCCTCTCTCTCTCTCTCTCTCTCATACACACACATACAGTTCTTTTTCTATCTCTTGCTCTTTCCCTCTCTTCCCTCTCTCTGAAAGGAGAGCGGGAGGGCGGTGCGGTGTTGGAGCTTTTTCTGGGACAGGTGCCAATTCCAAACAAAAGACATAAAAAGGCACTGAATGAGAGATGCCTCGATCGTAAGAAAGAAATATGTTGCACGATGAAACGAAAGAAGTTTGTGGTGACCGAGTGCGTGCGCGGTTGCGTGCATTCAGCTGAATAGAAATGTTTGGAGCTAAGATTTGAAATACTTTTCTTCTCTATCTCTCTCACAACACTCTCTCCCTTCTCTGGCGCTCTTCAGCCACTGAAGGCATTTCAGTCATGGGGGGTGGAAAGGGGAGGGGGCTCGGTTTTCAAGCTTCTGAATTATTCATACGCCTGGGCCAATGCTGCGATCGGACTGGCTGGGACATTAACATGCAGCGGACATTCTGTTTGTCTGTTTGCTAACATTCCTCATTCAAAGACTTGTTAACTGCTAGATGGGCCGACACACGCGTCTCTCGGGCTGCTATTGTGGCCAGGACCCGGTTGTCCCAAATCAGGGAACCGCAGGCAGACGTGTAGCCTAGCACTGGGGACACGCAGCTGGGGTGGAAGGATTGTCTTGGCCCCCCGGCCTACCTCCTTTGGTCCTTGTGCCTGCTGTGGAAAGCTCACTGCCTCTTCTTTTCCTTCTCTCTCTCTCTCTCTCTCTCTCTCTCTCTCTCTCTCTCTCTCTCTCTCTCTCTCTCTCTCTCTCTCTCTCTCTCTCTCAACACAGGACTGGTGAAGTGAGTAGAAAAGGCCTTCAGCACTTGTCCTGGAATGTTTCTATCTACTGATGCATGTCAATATTATGGGGTAAGTTGCAATTTTTTTTGTTATATGTGGTATTTCTGCGTATTTAGTTTGTTTTTCGTTTCTCCAATGTATTTCTCAAATCAAGTGGGGTTTTTTTGTCTTTAGAATGTGGGCAAAATATTTTTCGTTCTGGTTTTACGCTTTATACGGGGGGGTACGATTCCTAAGGAAAATGGCGTTAGGGGAATGTAAAGGCATTTCATATCAGCACCTAACAGACATGATGTACATGATCGACCTTCCACAGTGCATAGTTTTGGGGTTAATGTTTTAGTGACTGAGAGAGACTTTTTGGGAGTAAGAGTTTTGAGTCGTGTTATCGGGAAAAGGTGTTTAAAAATTAACCTCATTTTCTGATGCATTCCTTGTGTGTTAACTGGAGCACTTTAACAGTGAATGGACCTCAGCTATTTGTGTAGGGCCTTGTGTTTGATTATCATGTTGTGCTGTCGTTTATCTTATGAACTGTTCATTGCGATTAATATTTAATGTTATTTTTATATTATTATTGAATTATAACATGGGCGCTTGTGGATAGAAGCACTGTATACGCCACGTCAGAGGTTAGTTTGTGCAATTATGCATTAAAATTAGAAGAAATGAGGAAGTATTTTGCGTTAATTATTTAACTGTTCCAATGAGTGTTCTTTTTTAATTTTTTTGGTTGCTTATTTTAAATGATTTCAATGGAGATGTAAAGGCATGCAAATTCAACTAAAAGTTGTCAATTTGACTCTAAAATATATTATTGTTTAAATTTACACATTTAAATATGTTGACTGCCCATATTTCATTTGAATTTAGCGGAGAACAATTTTTGCAATTTATAAAAATTTTAACCTGTAATATACATTCTAGTTGTGTACTCGAAGGCATTTGCTGAATCTGAACGATTTATGTATAATTTGAAGTCTTTTTAAAAAAAAAAAATTTTTTAAGAAAAACGTTTTGTAAAGATGTCTTGTTGAAATTTTAGGCTTGTGTAAAATAAATTATAATCAGAGTGTTCTTTTTTTTTGTTACGCACACACACACACACACACACACACACTGTCTCTCTCTCTGTCTCAAAAACACACACACACACACACACACACACACGTAAAAAAAAAATTCTTAAGGGCCTTTTATAATTGAATAATTTATAAGTAAAAATCATGTTTAGGGTCGCTGAGATTTCAGAATTTAACAGCTGATTTCTGGGTGATGATTAAGGATAATTTGACATAAAATAGCATTGTGTTTGATTAATACATTATCATGTAGGATTTAAAGGCATAAAAGTAAACAGTTGTGTTTCATCGTTCAAACTAATGATTTTGGCTCATAGCAGGCTGTTTATTAGCACGAGTGAGAACGCCAGGGGCAGTGCTGATGAAGTGTGTTGGCACAGAAAATGCACATTGGGTTGGCAGTGCCCTCCCCCACCCCTTTTTTTGGTTGTGAATGGAGTGTTCCAGGGATGATGTATAGTGTAAAGAACAGAGCAGGTGGCATCATCTAAAGAACCAAGAGGGGGGTTGGCGCAGGAACAGATTTTCAGGATGAAATTACCCCTTTTAGTCATTTGTACTACAGATTTGTCTTTTTTGTGTGTGTGAGAAAATGTATGTGGTTTTAACAGAAATGCTGACTAGTTTACACTGTAAATAAAGATGAAACATTTATTCTTAAAAATGAACTGAAATTATCATTTTAAGGATTAGTTTTTTTTTTAAATGTGCTTTTGTGGGATCTTTTTTATTAAATTTTGCAGAGAAAATAGAAATGAATGTGTGTCAAGCTGGGGCAAGGCATTCCCAGACATGCCGAAGAGCAGCGAGCATGTGTGCACTAACTGAGACACCCGCCCTCGCTGTCACATACAGACGTACACACACTCTCTCACACACACACCCAGACACACTTGCTGCCATGTGCTCCATAATAGACCTCTGATTCAGCCCTGAATAGAGTTCCCACGCCTCAGTGTGTGTGTGTGTCTGTAATAGTTAAGGGTGTAGACCCCCCCACCCCAACCCTTTTCAAAAGATACTTGTGTACTCTCACACACACACACACACACACACACACACACACACAGTCTAGACTAAAGATGTCTCCTTCATTCTGTTTAGAGGTGTATTTTAGAAGCTACACACTGTGAATTGATAATTAGTTGATTTCGGATGAAGTTCCAAGGGTGGGATTTAATGCAGGATATGTGACAAAGTGATCGAAACAATTAGAAGCCTCATAGATTCTCATCAATGTTACTTACATTTTTTAATGTTTTGTATTTCAGGTTATTTTAATTGTCAGTTTAATGGAATTATGTGTAATTTCAGCTCAACCACATAAGATGATTTGCACTAAACAGCATTACTGATGCAAATGTAATTGTATAATGATCATCCGAATGCAGTATTAATGCATAATTATTATTGGGGGGAGAAAACGTAGATAGAAAAGATCAATTATGTTTGTGTACTTGTTTGACATTTTCTAGCAGAGAAAGGTGATGGACACTCGCATACTTGTGTATGGATGTCTCCAATATCTTAAAATAATTTCATGAACACATATTTGTTCCTGCGGATTTTCTTTTTCATGCAGAAAAAAATTGTTTCATTTTATTTAGTCAACTTAATTTGTGAATGGTTATTTCACTTGAATTTTGACTTTAAACTAAAGACAATTTAATTTAATACTATCAAGAATAAGAATAAAAAAGTTCTTACAGTGTTTGAGATATAGATTAGTTTTTAGTTTTTAAAGCAGTAAGTTGGAGTGATGATTGATTATGTTGAGATGCTTATATTTTTATGACTTATAAAATGTCTTCCTTTGGGAAAAAATGCACGCAGATGTCTTCAAAATATTAGAAATATTGTTTGCTGTATTGCTAATAATTTTGTGTTCAGGAAATACCATAAGATCTATTTAATTTTAAACTGAAAATGAATGAAAGACAAATGTATCCATTTAGTGTTTTTCAACTTTTAGATTTATATTTAATTCATTAAATGTCTCTTCTGAATTGTATAGCAGACCCACAGAAAAGTGTAGTGTAGTTTCCATATCAATTTACACAGTACCACTACAAAAAAAGTTTTTAAATGAATCTGTATAAATAACTCTATTATTTAAGTTTTTACCACTTTCTTTTTAGAATTTGGTTATGATGGCAGAAGTAGACCTTTTCTTCTACATTTCTTTATAATCAAGATCCTTAAGCCAGTAAACTCTTATAGACGCTATAGTGAAGTGAAAAGAAGCGGAGTAAAGGACTGTGGGGTCATTTAGGGATAGCAGTACTCAACTAACTTGTTTCCCATGGCCACAATAGGAGCCAGACATGATTGGCAGGTGACAAAAGGTGGGGTGGAGCTGAGTAATTGTTCAACACTAAGATGATGTCATGGGCAAGTCTTGAGACCAAGAGCCGCTAACGGTCTTAGCAAAGGCTTGCTTGAATGCTGTTGTATGATTGTGATAATTTGTGTTTTGTCTCACTGACATTTATATGAACTGTTTTTAGGTTTTTATATCAAAACTAATTGTGTTTTACCTCAATTTTCTTATTTTTCACAATTGCAACTAAAAAAATGACAAGAAGCCATGGCCTGCCCAGACAAAGCAGAATATTATGACACCGATCACTTGTGTAATCTGCGGTTTAAAGTTCAAGCTCAAAGTCCATTACAGACATTGTATTCACGCTCTGCTGTAATCATGGGATATCTCTCCCCCTCCAGTCACATGAGGTCTTTTTTTTTTTTTTGCTTTCTGTGATTTTGTTTGAACAGATGTATAATACAAACACAGAAGACAGCTTTGCTTCAGGAGCGATAAAACAGCCAGAGCATAATTCTGTCAGTCAACAGTTCTTAAATCATGCAACAAAAAATGTTGCTTCAAAGTTCGTGCGACAGATTTCCCTGTCGTTTGTACCGGCAGTATTAATGCAAAGCAAATAGGGATATAAACAAAGTGTATCAGACGGTGATTAAAGGAAATAAGAATCACTGTTTAGCAGCATTTCTGTATTATGGGCCTATTGTCGCTGAACCGCTCTTTTACTCTGAGGAAATGTGTCTCCAGTCTCTGGTATACAGCGCCACCTTATGGCTGTTAGCTACTCCATAAGCTTTCAAGTGTACCCGTAATTCAAGAGCTTAATGATCTATGGTTTGTTTCACTACTAATGTAAACTGCAACCTGCCTGCTTTTATCAGTAGCGATGCTTTTAATAATCCCATAATGTTCTTAATGATGTTAGTAATCGAATGTGCATAAGGCTTTGGTGGTTTTGATGAACCAGCTATAGGTGAAGTATAGCAGGCAGTAATCCAAGCGGAGATCTCTGCTGTCAGCTCTTTCTCATAAAAAACAACAACAACAAAAAACAGGTTTACACTTTAGTCATGACATACAGTGAGGTGTAACTGTTCCAATGACAGTAGGAGCTCAATTCATGTAGCTGTGTGATGCGTTATGAATGTTTGAGAAAAAAGAGTGATTGATTTGAATCTTTGATCCAAATCAAAGACCACTAGGAAAAATGGCTTTATTGTTGCGTTTTATTTATATAGAAAATGTCACATTACAAAATATATTGTCAGTCATGTTGACAAAACACAATATAATAACAATTTGAGTAAAAAGTTGAGAATTTTATATATGAACTCCGCATCATGGATCATGTTCTCCAGCATGATTTGAGATGATCCAGAGCATCTTGAAGTGTAGTTGAACTAAATCTGACCGTCTGTATGGTCAAGATTAATGTGATCGATGTCAAATTTGATAGATGACCTAGAAATAGTGCTGGACATAAATTTTTTCCCCTTCATTTTACAATTTATTAAAACATTATTTCCAGATCTAAAAAAAACAAATCCCACACTGCAAAAATCAATTAGATTTTTTTTAATTGTTTGTCTTGTTTTCCAGTACAAATATCTCAACATCATTAAAAATATATGAATTTACTTTAAAAGGAACTTCTTTTCAGAGCACACTAAAATAGTTTATTTTTGATATTATTGCAAATTTCTTAAGTAAATCTAAAAAATTGTCAGGTTTAAACAAGAAAGCTTTTTGCCAAAGGGTAAGAATTCAAGTCTTAATATCTTTTATCTTAATATTTTCTTAATTTGTGTATGTGTGTGTGTGTGAGTGTGTGTAACCACTCACCCTTGTGAGGTTCGTGGGTTGTGTGAGTCAGCAGTGTGTGTGCCTCCCCCTTGTCTGAGGTAAACCATACTACTGCCCACAGCCTTACTCACTCACACTGAACCTTCCCCGATCTGACCACACACGCACACCAGTTCCCAAACACCGGTCCTAATCCTCTCATGCACCCCTGTGTACTGTCAGGGTCAGCAGTAGACAGACATACAGCACAACAGATGATATAAGTCAAACAGGACATGGACCTGATGTAGGGACTTGAGTATGTGAATTCTGTGCCTGACTAATTCTCTCTCTCTCTCTCATCCTTTCACAGATGGCAAACCCAGGAGGTGACTATCTACCTTTCTCATGTTGGTGACCTTGATGGTTTTGAAGGATCCCAGACTGAAGCTTTGGAGATAGAGGTGATAGGGGGTGTATTTAGTGCACAGCAAAGACTGTTGAATGGCAAACAGTTTTAGCCCACATATTTACCATTTCAGGGTCTTCAATTCACTTTTTAGTGTCTTACATCAGCTCTGTGATGCATATATCACCTAATGAGGTTAGTTGGATATTAGATTTAAAAAAACAAGAAGGTACACAGGAAATGGAAGCTCCATTGCAGGAAGAGGAATAAAGAGACTGTCGTTTGGGGTGAGGTAGTAGGTTGTATAGTTTGAGGGTTTAACCCTTGCTGTCAGATAACTATACAACTTACTGTCTTTCCCGAAGTGACCGTAGTGCCATCGCATCACATGGAGGACGTCAACTGGAAGGAAGAAACGACACATTTCCAGGATCCAGCATTAATCTGTGGTCATTAAAGACATGCTTTTATGCTTAACGCAGGCTTAAATGTTTATCAGATATTCACAATGAAAGAATATTTCAAAAAAGTTTTAATTTGTGAAATTTGTGTTAGGTACACATCAATGCTGTTTTGATGCATTATAATGCAAGCCTTTAAGTTTGATTTTTGCGGTGAATACATAAAGAAACAGTATAAGCTGATAGTAATGATAACATGTATGGTGATTTAAAGAAAAAGTACAGATAATTTTAAATGACAGAGACATGAAATCTTTTTTCTTTCCTGTATTAGCTTATTTCCTTTTGAATCAGAATGTTTGAGGGGGGGCATATTGAAAGGCTTATCTCTTTTTATTAAATATCCAATGCCCTTTAATTACATCAAAGTCACAACATATTTTGATTGGACAAATTATCAGTGTAGTGAAGCTTGTCGCCCAAATTTTTTAAAGAAAAAAGACTAAACTGCCAGATTCTATGAAAACCCAAGCATGTAGATGGGATAGGTTCAAATCTAATAGGAGCTACAAAACATCATAGATGATAGAAAAGAATTGTAGTTAAAATACCACTGATAAGTGAAAAAATGTGTCGCTGCTTTGTCGTGGAATATTCAGCAGTGATGTTCGTACAGGGTGAGGTAGTAGGTTGTGTGGTTTCAGGGTTGTGTTTTTACCCCATCAGGAGATAACTATACAACATACTGCCTTCCCTGAAGGGCAGCAAAACGTCGCCAGTCACGGTTCATTCACTTTTTCTTTTTCTTTTCTTAATTGTCTTGGTTTTCCAAGCTTCTACTTGTGATGATCGTGCCATTTATAGCTGCATTAGCATTACAGATGTGTAATACTTCAAACTGAAATAAAACGTTTGATATTTCAAAGATTGCCTGATTTTTTTTTTCTTTGCCTGAAGCATGATATTGATGTTAAAGGATACGTCAAAATAATCTTGTAATTATGCTCTATTATGAGTTAAATTGTGGCATTTACTGTTATTGTCTCTCCAAACCAGTGTGACGTCTGTCTTCTGTGGAACACAATAGGTGCATTCTTCAAGAATATCCCCTGCCATTCTTTTCATTATAATGAAGTGAAGGTGGTATGGACTATATTTATGGCACATTTATTTCCTGTTTGAGGCTCGGAAGAGTATGTCCAGAGACTTTGCATTATTTTCAGTTTATTAAAGATGCAATGCAAAGCCAGGCAGAGTGCTTCTGCCAGCATGGCTTGTATTGTAAATAAAACATGGCCATGGCTCCAGACGGCCATTAGCCGATGTTAACAGCTACAGGGCTGGTAGGCAGGCTGACCTTTCACTGCTGCACAATTTATGGGCACTGGCTGGCAGATCTCCACAGGAGCACCCCTAGACTGGCACTCACAGGAGAGGAGTATTAGCAAGAAAGGACAGAATGTGATGTCCATGTCACCTTGAAAAAGTTTTGTTTCTTTGGAAACAGGTGTTATGCATGCTTCTAATGGCAGCATTACCTAGGGGAGTGCAACACCATTGTTGTGTTTGAAAAACGACTTTGTTATGCACATTACAGTAATTCAAAAAGAGTTTAATACTTTTCCCCTGTGACTGCCTCGGTTTTACCCTTTCACTCCTCAAGAGCTTTTTTGTGTCTTGACAAAGACACAATTAAATAACCCAATCGAATTATGGTGAGCCACTATGTAATAAATTTGGGAATTGTCTTTAAATTCATTCAAAATACTTAGTTATCTACAAATAGATGAAAAATGTCAATGAATGAATAAATACAGCACAAAATCTGGCACAAAATATCTCATTGTGACAAGGGGAAACAGTTAGGTAAACCTTAGGTTTACCTAACTAAATAGATTAAAATACAATACAGAAATATATAAATAGTGCATAACAGTACGATGCTGAGTAGAAAACAACTAAATTGGACATGAATTTGCATTTTGTGGCATCTGAAAGATTAAAAAACCCTTGCTAGGCTAATGAAAAGTATATATATATATATTTATGATGGACAGATTCTAAAATCTGTGATTGATTTTAGAATATCACCAGTAGGTGTCAGTAGAGGCATATTATTGTGACAGTGTCTCTGAAAAAAAAAGCTAAAGCCTCTTTATTATATGTAAACATACCTTTATTATTGAGACAACATGTGCCATATTATTTTAATTCAGTATTTAAGTCAGTATTTTTTTATTCCTGTATTTTTTTGCTCTTAGGGCATGAAAAACAAGATTTGAACTACAGTAGGCTATGCATTTTTGGTTTTAACTGAATAAATACTGTACTAAACATAATACAGTAATAATACGGTAATACTGTGTGTATTTAACAAACCAATTAATACAATTATTTAAAATCACGTGAAAACTATAAAATATATACATTACAAATATAAATTATTGTAAATGCAATTGAGTTTGTTCCTGTTCGGCCAGCAGACGAAGAGCTTCATACCAGTTGAACTTTGCGTATATTAAATATCAGAACATGATGACGTGATTCCATCAAAGATCTCTACAACCAGTGAAGGTACAACCCTTTGGAAACCAAACAGACTATGTAGAAAACCCCCACACTCTCTCCAGTCTACCAGATTATGCCGATTTACACTTATTAGCTGATAATTCTGATCATGTTCAAAAGTGACAAATATTTACCATAGCTCTGAGAAAACCTCAGACTGAAATCTTCATTGATGTTTTCAGACTGGTAAAACTAGCGATCAGTTTTCAATATCATCTGAAATGAGCATTGTTGGAGTAACGCATTACAAGTAATCAGATTACTTTTTAATGAAAGGAGTAACGCATTACAAATAATGTGTGTTACGTAATCAGATTACTTTTAATGTAACAAGTAAAGCATTACAAGTAACATGCGTTACGTAATCAGATTACTTTTAATGTAACGAGTAAATCATTACAAGTAACATGCGTTACGTAATCAGATTACTTTTATTGTAACGAGTAAAGCATTACAAGTAACATGCGTTACGTAATCAGATTACTTTTAATGTAACGAGTAAATCATTACAAGTAACGTGCGTTACGTAATCAGATTACTTTTAATGTAACGAGTAAAGCATTACAAGTAACATGCGTTACGTAATCAGATTACTTTTAATGTAACGAGTAAAGCATTACAAGTAACATGCGTTACGTAATCAGATTACTTTTAATGTAACGAGTAAATCATTACAAGTAACATGCGTTATGTAATCAGATTACTTTTAATGTAACGAGTAAAGCATTACAAGTAACATGCGTTACGTAATCAGATTACTTTTAATGTAACGAGTAAAGCATTACAAGTAACATGCGTTACGTAATCAGATTACTTTTAATGTAACGAGTAAATCATTACAAGTAACATGCGTTACGTAATCAGATTACTTTTAATGTAACGAGTAAATCATTACAAGTAACATGCGTTACGTAATCAGATTACTTTTAATGTAACGAGTAAATCGTTACAAGTAACATGCGTTACGTAATCAGATTACTTTTTTATTTAATGATTAAAGCGTTACAAGTAACGTGCATTAGGTAATCATTATTTTTTGATGTAACCAGTAAAGTAATGCATTACAAGTAACATGCATTATGTAATCACATTACTTTTTGATGTAACTGCAAATTTCATTCTAATAACACAAATACATTTATGTAAAGCCCAAAAAAAAGCTGAAATACTGTATAGTTAGTGATGCATGATGTCTAATTTAGTGGACAGGTGAATAATCAGAATTTCCTCCCAATCTAAAATCAATACTTGGAAAATTTAACAGTGATATTACTCCTTAGATGTTACTTTTTTCTTTCCTTTTTTTACCTGCAAGAATCTCCTAGGATAGAAGTAATGGATGTCAGTGTATAGGATGGGTTGGTCCACTGTAGTGGTTAATGTGCAAGAAAATGGCTTTTTGAATAGCTGTGTACACTTACTGTAGTGACCTGTATGTATGAAAGGGTTAATGTGCCGAGATATTATTTAGGCATTACGGAGCATGAAATAATTCCATCATCATTATCATCATCATCCTCACAATGATATCTGTTGCCCAGCAACGCGACCTTAAATCGGTGGGCGTGGCTTTCTCTCCAAAAGCCTGCGCCGATTGGCCGAATCTATAGGTGTGTCGGTGGGTGTGCGCTGTCGCGAGCTCGACTAGTGTCAGAGTGGTTTGACAGCAGTGGTTGCGGTGAATTTTAAATAGGACGTTTAAGGAGTACTACAGCCTCAACCGCACCACCGAGTTGAGATTTGGCAGTGTCACAGAGCCCGTGTGTTTTATTCCTGCCTGCATGGCGGCCTGGGATTGGGAGGTAGACGCGCAGCTCTTGTATACAAAGCGCTTGTGTAACATTATGATCATGTTTTATCCGGTTTTATGGCCGTAATTACTGTGGTCCTATGCTTTTAGCTGGAGGAGCAAAGTAAACATTCACATAACACATGTCTGTGCTATTTTCACAGCGAGGCTCTTATCACAGTCTGTAGAAGAGATGCGTTTGCTACAGTTTATCAAGATTTTAACTCTTGTTGGAACCGAAGCGAAACTTTACAGCGTCTGTTGGTCTTTAAAGCTTGCCGATTCACCAATCGGGTT